ATTCGTATAGTGCATCACCTACCGTTAACTGGGATAATCGTCATGGGTCGTTTCCCCGTGCCGATGCTTGGGGAGGTAGTCGTAGTGAAATGGGGTATTCCAGTCCTCAACGTAGTGGTTGGAGTGATCGCGCATCATCTCAGGGCGATCGCTGGAATTCTGGTTATCGTTCTGGAAGATATGCTAGTAGTCATGGTCGTGGCGGATCTTTTCCTGAGGAAGGGTTTAATCGTAGAGGGGAAGATGGCTATGGGTCTTGGCGTGATGGCGTTCATATAATTGGCCCGAAAAATCAACGCATAGAACGAGATTTGTTTGGTTCCCCGGATGATCCAGACCGGCAACACACTGGTATCCATTTCGAAAAATATGATGACATTCCAGTTGACGCTAGCGGAAATAACGTTCCGGAATGCGTTTCTGACGTAAGTTTACTAGTATAATGATATCTTTCTTTATAAGCAATAATATACATGTGTTATTCTTATACCTTCTATTTATATTAGTTTGCAAGCCCTCCATTGGATCCTCACCTTATTACCAATATTGAACTTGCTCGCTATTCAGTACCTACTCCCGTACAAAAGTATTCTATATCAATTGTTTCATCTGGTCGTGATCTTATGGCATGTGCCCAAACTGGCTCGGGGAAAACTGGAGGTTTCTTATTCCCGATTTTGTCCGAACCATTCAAACATGGGCCTGCGCCGCCTCCTCCAGAACAACCTGGCTACACCCGTGGGATGTCTCGTGGTCGTAAGGCTTACCCAGTCTGTCTTGTTCTTGCGCCTACCCGTGAATTAGCTTCTCAAATTTATGATGAGGCTCGAAAATTTGCTTACCGTTCTTGGGTAAGGCCCTGTGTTGTGTATGGTGGTGCCGATATTAATTCTCAATTGCGGTTAATTGATCGCGGTTGTGATCTTCTAACTGCCACCCCTGGACGTCTTGTTGATTTAATTGAGCGTGGCCGAGTGAGCTTATCTCAAACTCGATATTTAGTTCTCGATGAAGCAGATCGTATGTTAGACATGGGTTTTGAACCTCAAATTCGTCGTATCGTTGAGAAAGAAGGTTTGCACATTTATTGCTGTACATTAATTTTTATAACATCGAATTCTAAGGAAATCTCTTTTTAATTTTTATTAGATATGCCTGGCGTCGAAGATAGGCAAACACTTATGTTTAGTGCCACCTTCCCTCGGGATATTCAAATACTTGCTCGGGATTTTTTAAAAGATTATGTTTTCTTGAGCGTTGGACGTGTTGGCAGTACGAGCGAAAATATCACACAAAAGATAGAATATGTAGAAGATGAAGATAAGCGATCAGTTCTCTTAGATATTCTTCACGCTCAGTCGGAAAGCGGACTCACATTAATCTTTGTGGAAACTAAGCGCATGGCCGATATGTTATCAGAATTCCTCATAAATTCGGGTTACCCGGCCACGTCAATTCACGGAGATCGATCACAACGTGAACGCGAACGTGCATTAGAATCCTTCCGCACAGGTCGTACCCCCATCATGGTGGCGACTGCAGTTGCTGCTCGTGGATTGGATATTCCAAATGTTACTCATGTTATCAATTATGATTTACCCACCGACATCGATGATTATGTACACCGTATTGGTCGTACAGGTCGTGCTGGTAACCTTGGTCAATCAACAGCATTTTTCAATCGTGGTAACAAGGGTTTGGTAAGAGAGTTGATTGAACTATTAAAGGAGGCTAATCAAGAAATACCTCTTTGGTTAGAAAATGTGGCGAAAGAAACTATGAGTTATGGAAATTCCACACGTGGAGTTGGACGAGGAGGTCGTAGTCGAGGTCAAAGCCGTGATTATCGCAAATTTGGTAGCAGCAGCGAGCGAGGTACCTATGGGGCTAGTCAAGAGTAAGTCGCTTTTCAATAGCCTAATTGATATTTTTTGAGATGTACTCTGATCTCGTTTAATATTATACTCATTCTAATCAGCTTTTACTATGGTGGCGCCAGTTACGGAGGTGGATATGGTGGTGGAAGTTATGGTTCCTCAACCAAGCCAAGTTGGTGGTAGTTATTCACCCACTGGTTTAAAGGGAAAGTTTATTCGAGAAAAAGATGGATGAAATGCGGAAATGATACATGAGTAAAGGGTTTTGTGTTTTAAGGCAATGAGCGTGAATATTGGGGTGTTGTTTATACCATTATCGATAATAGGTAGACGTATAAAATCTTGGGATTGGGTTGAAGTAAAAAAGAAGAATTTCCATTTAGAGGTAGAATCGGATTTAAGTATTAGAAACAGATCCGTTTTCAACCTCTAATGATCTCAAAGAGACTATGTGATTGATTCATTTTTGCTTTTTTTATATTATAAATTTTAGATTACTTCAAAAAAAAAATGTATGGACGTTGTTTTTGGTTTACCTTCACCCCCCATATTATTACAATTATTTGCTAATGCTAATTAATGATATACCACATACAATATTCCGTATTTCTTATTTATACAGTATTTTTTTTTTTTTTTCAAAAATTTCATAAACTCTGGTATATATATAGAAGAAAAATTGAACAATTTGCTTTATTTTTTATCAATTCATTTCTATGCTCACTATCATTATTTTATTTTATTTACAAAACTGTAGATTTTTTAAAACTATAATTTTATTATTTCTGTTCGATTATCTCGTGATTTTTGCTTTATAAATATTGAAGGTATAATTTCACTATATTATTCTTCGATTCTTTAAAATTTCTTTTGTATTATATATGCCAGGGCCACGTTTCTTTATTCTCAAAAT